CGCAGGCCGAGTGCCACCCGCTCCGCTCTGCTGATCCCGTCACAGGGACATGGCCTGTGGCGGGGTGGCTGAGGCAGCTCATGGCAGCGCAGGCCAAGCACCACCCGCTCCGCTCTGCCCTCGCTGCCCCGGGGGAAGCTCCCGGCCAAAGGAGGGCTCGGTCACCTCCAGCTTTCTGCATCTGAGTGACCTTTAAGCAACACCAACCTCAGTCCAATCAGCACAAAGGGAAGTCCTAACTCCGTTTGTAGCTGTACTTTAGTCACAACGTTCAGCAGGATTCTTTAGGAAAGGCAGCCCAACCACTGCTTGGTGGAGCAGATAACCTGGCCCTCCTCATCTCACACCTTTTGCGGATGGGAGGCCCATCACTCAYTTCTTCCTGAACCACTGTTCAACTTAATAAGGTCAGAGACATTTCCAAGAAAGGTTGCACAGAGTAGTCAAAAAGCAGCAGAACAGACCAAGAATTGATACCAAGCTTTTCTTAATGTGACCATCTTAACTATCAAGATCTTAAGCTGCACCACTAAAACACCCAAATTGGGACTGTTTAGCCTGCGAGTTACTAGACAAGCTGAAATTCCTGCGGGATTTTAACAGCCAGCCAGAAAGTAATCAAGTTGTGACCAGGGTATTTACCACAGATATTAGCTCTCCAGAGAGGGGAGCTTTCCTTGTGGGAAAACCTCACTGCTCTTCACTGTTATCTGTAATTTTAAAAGAGAGTGCGTTTGGTAGCTGAACAAAATAATGGGGGGTTATCACGCAAGGTGTGTGGACTGCAGGGCCTTTAGGAATTCTTTCCTCACATCCTCACATGGTYGTCTCTCAGAATTGAGCTCCAGCACGTCACATGAAACAACTTTTAGGTATTTCAGCCTAAATTCTTGTATCCCAGATGGACTACCTTCATTCAGATCAGCAAACCACAGAGGAATTATTTGCAGTCAGTAACTTTTCTGCCTGGAGGAGGAGGATCTATATACCATATCCTATGTACTTTGCCTACAACCATGGCTGGCTCACACTGAAGAAGATTCAGGCCCAAGCATGTCTGAAAACCATTTAAACCTGTCTAAATTTTC